TATATATATAGCAAGCTACTGTTCTATAGTTAGAACAGTAGCTTAAAGCTAGACAAAGTAAAATGGAAGCTAATTCTAGGGCAATTAATGCCTTAAAGGTAACAGTAGCAAAACTAAAAGTGACAATTAAAATTTGCATATGAAAAAATAGTAATTGTGATTACTCTGAAGAAAACTTTGCCAAATCTGATACACCAAGACTGACTTCAGTGTCTGTATTTTGTAGGTGGATGATGACAGCATTGATGATCTGGGTGAAGTCAAGAAGTGAAGACCAAATATGCACTTTCACTGAAATGGATGTGACCTGTAACAGCAACAGCCTGGCCAAATGTACACATTGTCGTTTTATACCTATTTTATTCACTGTACATAAAAATCTGCAGACATGGCCACTCACTTGGCTTTTTCTTTTAGTTCATAGCTGCTTTCTGTCATTTGCCAAAGGCGTGGTATGACCTGAGTCCTTCACAAATATTCTTCACTCACTCAAAATGTAGGCTAATAAATTCTCGTCTCTTGAATTTAAGTTGTCTTTCCAAGTTTCTGTTTTGTTTTGTTTTTTGTGGGTTCAACAGTCTGTAAACACTGGAATTTGGTTTTGAATTTTTTCAGGTCTGAACAAACTTGGAAGAAAAGAAAACATGGAATAATTGCACCTCCAGACTTTTTACTTTTTTTAGTTTTTCCAATTGCATATTCTAAATATGTAAAAAAGGGGGCAAAATTCGTCATTTTTCAGCATTTTTTATTTTAATATTTTTTGTATATAAAGATGGACAGTCATCATGATTTTAACATTTTACCACATAAAGCTTTTGAGTTTTAATTGTATATCCATTATTTTTGTTTTGATTTTCTAATCCAGAACCTAGATGTGGAGTGCAAGAAGAGCCTTTTGAATTATCCTCATCTGGCCTCCCACTGTCTTTAAATTAAAACTAAACTGTTTTTGTTACTATATTTTCCACTATAAGTTGATGATTTTTTACTGATTTTGCTAATGACACCCCCAGGTAATTGAAAACAAATTCTAACTAAATTAAACATCTGAACTGCTCAAAGTGGCAGGAAAAAAGTGCTGGTACACTATCCAAACACACACCCCATCTCCAGAAATTTTAGTCCGGGAAAATATGAAATTTCATTCTGGAAACGTAGAAACTGAGTGCCTTTGTTTTTCCCCATGTTTTTTCAAAGCTATGATTTGTTGTCGTCACAGACTTTATGAGTCTCTGAGATGGTTTCAGCTTACTTGTTTTTCATGCATCCTGCCCATGAGTAAACCTTTTCCCTGGTCTAATAGTTTTATAATGAAGGCATTGTCCCCAGACAGATAACATTTACAGTTGTTACCATATTCCTTTGGGTCAATACCACTTCCCCTTAGATAACATGGGGCACAGATGCTCGGTTCACTTCTGAATTAATGTTTGTCTGAAGCTTTGAGAGCAAACACCATTTCCTTTCCAACAAAGACACCTGCTGCTTTAAGCTTTTATTGACTCATTTAGGCAGTTGCAGCTGGGTGTTGTACATCACAGCTGCGTCAGAATATGAATCTCTCACACATAGATATTTGCTGTGCCTTTAAATCTCCCATCTTAGACCAGGTTTTACCTCCAGTCCTGATCCTGGAGTTCATGTTTGGGCTGATGGGGAACTTTGTGGCCCTGTGGATGTTTATCTTCCACATGGACACATGGAAGCCTAATGCAGTGTACCTGACTCACCTGGCTGTGGCCGACTCCATTGTCCTGTTCTGTTTGCCGTTCAGGGCAGATTACTACAGACGTGGGAAGAACTGGATCTACGGCGATGTCCCGTGTCGTATCCTCCTCTTTATGCTGGCAGCCAATCGTGCAGCAGGGATCTTCTTCCTCACAGCTGTGGCTGTTGACCGCTACTTCAAGATTGTCCACCCACTGAACAGCATCAACCGCCTAGGCCTGGGCTATGCTCTGGGAGTGTCCCTCGGCCTCTGGGCTCTGATCTTTCTTGCAACCGGTTACCTACTTACCGGTAAACACTTTTTCTACAGCAGCAATCGTACTCAGTGTGAGAGCTTCAACATCTGCATGAGCTTCACTCCTTTGTCCACCTGGCACAATGCTTTCTATGTCATCCAGTTTTTCCTGCCCACCGTCATTGTGGCCTTTTGCACTATCAGGATCACCTGGCAGCTCAGAAACAGAACCTTGGACAGAAAGGGAAAAGTCAAACGTGCTGTTCAGTTTGTGTTGGCTGTGGCTTTGACCTTTATCATCTGCTTTTTTCCCAGCACTATATCGCGTATTGCCGTGTGGATCCTGAAGGTTTGGTATGACGAGTGCAGATATTTTGAGAAGGCCAACTTGGCATTTTACACTTCCGTGTGTTTCACCTATTTCAACAGTGTCCTCAACCCTGTGGTTTATTATTTTTCATCTCCAGCCTTCAGCGGTACCTTCAGAAAGGTGCTGAACAAACTGCTGAGGAATGACGAAAAAGACCCGGCTGAGTTGGACAATGACATTTCCACGATTGACAGAGGAAGAATCTAAATCCAGGTGATAAGTCAACAAATGTCATAAAACATTTGTTACAAGTTTATAACAATAAGTAGAATAATGCTTTGCTTTGATTTTAAATAAAATTACTCTTAGTATCTTTGTATTACTTGCAATGGGATGCCTCTGCCCCGTTCTCTGGTTTTAAGCTTATTTTGAGACTGGTTGCTGGGTGATTTTGACAGTCTCTTCAGTAGAAGTATGAAGTTAAATAATAAAAATGAAGTTTGGACATTTTTCTTGGGAAAGTAATTCATACAATCATTTTATAGTAAATCCCCAACTAAATACTGAATTTCTTCATGTGTGGTAAAATCTTTACAATTTGAATCAGTTGAACATGAGTGGAGTTTGAAAGGCGTTTAGATAGTGTGTGTTTTACTAATGTGGGAGTTTATAATGACTGATAAATTAGCGGTAACTATTGCTTAATTGAGAAAGTGATGTGGGTGGGGMTTTTTTTCCACTGCAGTTTAGGCTTTACATTATGCTGCATTTTCTTATTTGTAAAACTCTTAATTTGCAACAGCCTGTCTATGTTGCAAACTTGGGAGCAACTTTACAGGTTCCATGACTGTTACATTTTTTATCATTTTAACAGAATTTACAACGTCTATTTCAAACAACATTGATCTTGTAGGGAAAAAAACAGTGCAGGTTATTTTAGAAGCCATGTTTGTAATGCACCGTAATCAATATAATCAATGTTTAATGTACAACAGGAAAAATGAGTTAATGATCTGGAGCAAATCAAAGATTTACTGTCTGCTGGTCATGAAAAATGTGATCTAAAAATCCTCCCCAATGGATTTTCTTTATTTTGTTTTTCAGAGGAAGAATGTTCAACTTATTACGGAAACCCATTTCTGCCACCAACAAGASAACAATAAAAGATCCTTTATGTCAGGGGTGGGCAATCCTGGTCCTGGAGGGCCGCAGCCCTGCATATTTTACTTGTTTCTCTGCTCCAACACACCTGATTCAGTCACTGAAATACC